AAGAAGTATAAAATTCGATCAACTTTCTTTCTGACTATTTTTCATTTTTAAAAACTTTCTTTACTTCATTTAATAGAACTGATCTGCTTTTGTGCTTTTTATGACGAGATCGTATTTAGGATCTAAAAATAGGAATAAGGTGCACAGTTGACAATATATTATTTTTATGTCACAAAATCATGTATTCTTACTTCCAATTCAATAGTAAAAGTATAGACCATTCAAATCGTCGCAAGCCACGGTTTTGTGTCCATTCTATTTCCACAAACCCGTGGCTGCCTCCTACCAAATTCTCTCGTTCTCGCGACTGAATCATGGAATATTTATTAAGTAACACCAGATTTACCTTGACCAATGAAATCAATCTGTAGCAATTTCTGGTACGCCCATAATGAAATCATGTTTGCTATGCTTGGCAGAATTATTAAAAAAAATACGATAGATCCTGAAGAACAGAGGTGAGTAACATATATTCTAAAATACTTACAAAGTTTTACTTTAAAATACAGGGTTTCGAATGTAGACGTTGTGTGAGAACGCTGAATAGCGTTACTTGTTGAGAAAGGAAATTAGAAACCGAAGTTGATGTACAGCTCGTGGTTATGGTTACATCCAAATACAAGATAGACTGATCATTTTCATTGGTTCTGACTTGAAGCGTCAGATGTTATTCCATTGGTTGAATGTATGTTATTAATATTCATGAGAACGAGAGAAATTTGTAGGAGACAGCCACGGGTTTGTGGAAATAGAATGGACACAAAACCCGTGGCTCGCGACGATGAGACCATTCACAGCTACAATAAAACATTTGCACTTTCATGCAATACCCTTTTATATTTCACCAGAATTTCCTCTATTGAATCTAATATGCAGTACCCTTGGATTTGCACGCATGATTTTGGCATGGGACTCATTGTTGTCATTAAGAGGGGTCCTTTGGACCCATGATAACCATTTTCAAAATGAATCACTGTGTACAACTTCTTTTTTAAGATAAGAGTTTGTGAATGACTGTGCAACACAAAAGTGACCATTTACACCTAAAGACATGATATCTATGACTAAAAACATTTATACAAGCATAACTGCTTGCTTGAAAAGATTCAGGATGTTTAAGTCATAGTCTTATTGAAATCCAAGTCCCCTTTACAGTGACTTATCAATAAACTAGAGGTATCGTGAGGGAGCTCACAAAATCATAACACCCCCCTGCTGCAATTTTGTAAAGTGTCCATTTATAATTTTCAAAATGTGACCTTGAACTTGCCAAAATGATCTTGGTCATAAGTAATCTGTATGTGAAATATGCACATCAATATTTCTCCATTAGAAATCAAGATGTGGTTGTGAAGCACTGATGTTCCCCATATGGCAGCTCATGTTAAAGATTTTCAAAAGTAGGTCAAACTTTCTAAGGTCAAGAAGTAAAAAATGTTGGCACCCAAAGAAATGTCTTGTCACAAGGAATACACATGTGAAATATGAAAGCCCTAGCAACAACTGTTCCGAAGTTATGGCCAAAGATAAATTTTTACAAAAGTAGGTCAGACTTAAAGGTCAAAAAGTTGGTAATCAAAGGTCTTGTCACAAGGGTTACACTTGTGAAATATGAAAGCCCTAGCAACAACTGTTCAAAAGTTAAGGTAAAGATTAAGTTTTACAAAAGAAGGTCAAACTCCAAGGTCAATACCATGAGGTAAAAATATGTTGGTAGCCAAAGAAAGGTCTTGTTACATGTACAAGGAATACACACATGAAATATGAAAGTGCTAGCACCAACCATACAAAAGTTATGGCAAAGGTCAAACTTACTGTAAATCATTTTTAACTTTGATTTTGCATAATTACCAGAAGGTCTGTCCATGAAAATTTCATTCTCACGTTAATTTTTATTAGCAAAGAATATGTAGAGCAATAACCATCATTTGCTTATAATTTAATTTTGTTTGTATTCTAGCCTCTGATTGGTTAATATCCAAAAAGGAACACAAATTATTTCTGTATAACCTGGTTAGGTATGGGGACACACCCCCTTGACAACCAGCTGAATCATCTGTATCCATACAATCCTCTCGTTTCCAGTCCTCGGGATTCATGGAAAATTCCAGATAAATGTACCTTTAATTTGGAAAATTCCAGATAAATGTACCTTTAATTTCAAACAATAATTCGATCTTACCACATGTAACCAAACAATATGGCTTCTAGGCCTATGTATAAGTTTTTACCTCCCCTCGATTCCCATCACTTCCGTTACTTCCGTTGCTATGGTTGTATTATTGAGCGGCAAATTTGAACTAATAAAAAGTAACGAAATTTTACACCCATAGTTATTTAATGATTTTAAAATTAAATTATAAGGAATGACTCTAATTCTTGGCCAAATTAATCGAGTATAACCTGTTTTATAATGTTTTATAATCTGCTTCGCGGATTATAAAGCGTAAACTGACCCAAACCAGGTTATACTCGAATAATTTGGCCAAGAATTAGAGTCATTCCTAAAATAAATACCAAGTAACTATCGCGCAAAAATAAGGTGTCACGAAAATTTGGTGTTCTACAGTAGGCTAAAGCTTTACAAAAGAAGGTCAAACTCCAATGTTAAAGTCATGCAGTCAGAAACGTTGGTAATCAAAGAAAGGTCTTGTCACAAGGAGTACATTTGTGAAATATGAAAGCCCTACAACAATTTTTCAAAAGTTATGGCCTACGTTAAAGGTTTTGTGAATACATTGTGAACCTGACATAAACTTTTTACTTTTTCTGCCAGTGACCTTGAACTTGCCAAAATTACCTTGGATCAAGGTTATGGCATACCTTCAGCTCATGAATAACCTTTGTTTGAAATTTCAACTTCCAGTACTAATCCATTAGAGATTAATGAACTGGACACAATTTTTTTTTTAATTTTCTGCCAGTGACCTTGATCTTGTGAGAATAACTGGTTCAAGGACACACCTTCAGGGAATATGTAATATTTGCGTGAAGTATGAACTTCCAATGTTTTTCCTTTTGAAAGTTAGCTGGACTACACACAATAAGTGGTTTACAATAAAGAGGCTTGACCAGGGACATCTGAAACAAATTAGTTGACAAGAATAAAGTCTCTTAAGGAGGCTGGGGGGTCAACAAATTAACCACAAATTAACCACCAGATTTAACTTAATTTTTTAGATATGATATCTTAAGCTGTCAACTATCATTTGGCAAAGAAAAATTTCAAAAATTTTAGTTTTAAAATTTGATCATTTTCTATATCTTCATATGGAGCTCTTCTTCTAAAGGAGATCAATATAGTCTAAAAATGGCCACAACCCCCCAGCCTCTTTAAAGTGAATGGTGTCATTTTAAAGTAGGCTAATGACTGATATATTTTAACAAAATACAAGCTTGAAGTGGGGGGGGGGGGGGGCTGAAATTGAGTTAGTTACCTTGTGGAAAGAAAAAGAAGGGGGTGATTCAACAATACGAAACAAGTGCCTGTGTCAGTAACCAACCTTATAACTAATATCAGAAACACAATTTAAGATGACCATCTCTCATCTTAGATCAATTTACCAAACAGTTTTTACATCAACTTAATCTGCTGAACTATCACTTTCCTCAGCATTACTCCTCTCTTACAGTACTTATAAGTTCCACATGTTGGAAACACATCAAAGGGGAAGTAACTCTTCAAAGAAAAAGTGTAATTCTTTTGAACACACCATTTTCAAAATTATTTATATTTTTCAAATAACCAGAGTATTGTCACAAAAGTGTATATCTGTACTGTGTATCTAAGTAATTCAGTTGTTATAAAGTATTCCCTTGATAAACTATAGATTACTTTAAAATACTTTTGAACCAATTGGAGTTTTCTCTTGTCATTTTCAGGCAATAACTGCTACAATTCTATTTCTCAGTAGATTCGTGATAATTAAAATTGTTTAAATAACCATAAAGTTTTCAAATCAATAAAATAATTTTCATCCCTAATAGTTTTCTTTAATGTATTTTGTACCTCCTAAAAATGAAAAAAAAAAAAATCAGAAAAAAAACCCACACACATGCATCAAATTATTTCCCGAACGTCAGGTTATGATACACATCAAGGATATGACAAAGTAAAGCTGGCATCCGATGAACAAGTCATTAAGATAACATCATATACATGTCATTGTAAACCTGACATCAGGTAGTAAGTATTAGGAAACTGACATTACGACTTGACATTATGACTAGTAATTGTAAAAGCTGACATCATGATGACATACATTTTTATCATTATCATGATTATAGTTCAATGGAAATCATGAAACTGACACCATGACATATACTGTGAAATCACAAAATTTTGTGAAGGTTTTTCATTGATTTCATGGTGTGAAGAGAACCATAAATTCATATCCTCCATGAAATGTTAGAATTTAAGACTAAAGTTTACTTCTCACTTCTTCAACCATGAAATTGAATTCCCACAATATTTTTTCCTTAAACAATTTAATTTAACAAGGCCAAGTCTAACTCAAGTGTACATGACTTTGTGCAGCTTTTTAATTTCATGCAGTCGTATGTGCAACATTACATATAAGAGATGTGGGAAGGGGGGTGTTTTAAAAATATTTTCCGTCTTCTGTTAATTTTTATAGTGAAAAATGCTAAATTTACCAAAATTAAAGAGTTATATCTCTTTGTTTTCCCAAATAAGCCATGTTTTATGAAAATTCACATAAATATCTATATAAATATGAAAAATCATTCAAATATGCTAACTTTTGAAATTTGACTTGGAGGTAGGCGGGAGAACAATACTATCGTTAGCAGTTCTTTGAAAATGTTTTGATGAAAACTATTTGAGTTATTGTACAAGAACAAATGTGTTGATAGACGGACTGAGAGACGGACAATGTGAATCCTATAAGGCTCCGACATTTCATTATTAAAACATTACTATAGTGTAAACATATCACTACAAGACCGACTTTACATGTACATGCCATTATCAAACTGACCTTCTCTTCTGTGATGGACTCCTCAAACACATCTGCCCATTTAACATGTTTCTGAAATGAGTGAAAAAAAACCTTGAATGTGCAACATATTTTATAATTCTGGATGAATAAAAAAAAATTACATATGATGAGCTGGCAAGAGAAGCAGCAGAAGTGTAACATGTGAACTTCAAGATTTATCATGGAAAAATATATCTTAGAAAGCAATATTTTAGTAATAATTTTTTCAAAAGAAGAACACTCAGCTTATGAAATGAGATTTCAAATATTATGTATTTATCCCATGTTTACCCCATTATCCCGTGGATATGACTCATTGGATAATTTTTTCATAATCCACAGTTGTGACGTCACAATGGTTTTTGCGTTAGCGCGATGAAGTAAAATAAAGTGGAGTCCTATATAAAACAGTGTAAAACATTGGTTGTGAAGTATTAAACATGGGATAAAAAGAATCTCCCATGATTTGTAGTTGGATATGACTTTTATCCAACTCGTTGTGTGTTTTTATCCCCTCGCCAAGGCTCGGGGATAAAAAACACACAACTCGTTGGATAAAAATCATATCCAACTACAAATCATGGGAGATCCTATATATATGTCACTTGTGGGGCAGTGTTAAAAAAGATCAACTTAAATGTATGTAATGACAGTGAAGAAAATGGGTTATCTACTAGTCAGGGGCAAACATAATACAGATGACTCTCGACGGCTCGAACTCCGATCTCTCGAAGTTCTCGATCTCTCGAAGTGAACCTCCGGTCCCGTTTTTTTCCACTATATAACTAAGCAAATTTACTCCTGATCTCTCGAACTCCCAATCTCTCGAAGTTCTCTATCTCTCGAACCAAGACCTGGGTCCCGTTATTACACATATTTCATTGTTTTTTACTCTCTATCTCTCGAGTTTTGATTGCGCATGTATACATGTAAATCAAGTGTAAAATTAATTCAGCTTGGACTTATCTGGGTAGCAGTGAACGCCTGGGGCTGGGATGGACCTGTTAATTGGGTGTTTACATAGATGATACTACACCTGTGAGTCGTCCGAGTGTTGATATAATTAATTGGTTAGTTGGTAAATTATAAACAAATCACTTCACAACTTATTTTGACTGGACGAGATGATAATTTTGAGAAAATAATTTAGGGACGTGTCAGTAATTTTCCATAGATTATGAACTTTAATATTATTAGAGTCTACACAATCCCAGTTTGGCAAACATTGCACAAGAAATCCTATCTCAAGAATTGTATACCGATTATGAGCAATTTTGTGAAGGACCGATCAAGCCCGCGCCCGGGTTTCATGTTATCATGAGATGAAAACAAATAAATATTGAAACTTAATCATTTTATTTATTCAAAATATGATCATTGTTGTTGAAATCAAGTAAATTACCTGTAAAATACGAATGAAAACGTGTAATGATGATAATGACATTATCAACATACACTTCCGGTATGTATAATAGTAGAACAATGATGATCGGAACTGAAAACTCTGGATTTTATTCATTTTCCATCTCTCGAACCCCCCGATCTCTCGAACTTTTCTTACGGTCCCTTGAACTTCGAGAGATCGAGAGTCACCTGTACCAGGTTTGATATCTATCAGATCTCAATATCATTAAGGTAATTTACTTCTTAGAGGGTGTCAAGTGTAGTGAGTGTACCAAGTTTGCAAGCAAATGATTCTCAAGATATGTTCCTTTATCAAGAGTAGATTGACCTTTGATCTTGTGACCTCAAAATCAATAGAAGTACCAGTGCACCAAGTTTGCTATCTGTCAAGGAAATAATCCTCAAGATATTGAACAGTCAGTATCTTCCTATGTCTAGTTGGACTCTTGACCTTGTGACCTCAAAATCAACAATGGTCATTTACTCAAGGAAAACCAATGTACCAAATTTGATGTTTTTCAAGCAAAGGGTTCTCAAGATATTGAGTGGTCAATATTGAGATATTGAGTGGCCCTTCCAAAAATAATCAGGAATTTTGATGCTTTTTACGTAGGTCAACCATTACCTGACCAGGTCCATATAGTCACAAATAGACCTCATCAAAAGTCAATAATTGTATAATGTCTGGTTTGACTCTTGACCTTTTGACTCAATATCAATAGGGGGTCATCCTTACCTTAAAGAGAACCAAAATACCAAGTTCAATGTCTGTCTAGCAAAGGTTTCTGAAGATATGCGGACAGTATTTTCAGTATTACATACAATACTCTATAACAGTTACATGTATGCGCAGTATTCATACATTGTCCACATCACTGATATGAATGCTCTCAGATACCAGTTACTATATTTCCTGTCAGTTTTTTATGACGGAAAAAATAGTAATGTCAAAAAGAGCTTATTGGAATAATTTTATTTTTAAAATTACAATGGCTTTCTCATAAGATTTTTTTACTTGTTTTACCTCCTGGGTCTGAAACCCTAAAAAGCAAATTCAAAGTCAAGGTCAGAAATGAAAGTTCTTGTCACAAGAAATAAACATGATCTGAACTTATGGGCAAGGTTAAAGGTCAAGTTTTTCAAAAATAGGTCAATCTTGAAGGTCAAGGTCATAAAGATAACAATAAAGGCACTCAAGGAAAGGTCTTGTCACAAGGAATACATGTGAAATATGAAAGCCCTAGCCCCAACCTTCTAAAGTCATGGGCAAGGTTAACGTTTCCCTGTACAAATAGACAAAAACAAACCAAAAACTATATGCCCCTGAACCTCCAATTAAGGGGCATAAAAATACATTGCATTCTGTTTGTATATATAGTCACCTGTTCTCCAGGTTTCTTTGATGGTCCCTCTCCCAGAATGCCACATTCATTTCTTAGCACCCTTCTTGCCTACAAAATGTTAAAGATTAAAATCATACCGTATTTGGTTGAATATAATATGCACTTTTTTCCTAGAAAATGTTTTTGTGAGAAAGGGGTGCCTATTTTACACCACAACAGGATTTTGATAGTTTTTTCTTTCAGATGAAACACGGCTACAGTATCACACGGACATATCGTAGTATAACCTAGAGACATGGGCAATTTCTTGTTGTTTATCGCTGTATTTAAAACTTCGGAAAATTGTTGGAACGTAGGCTTGTTGAAAATGTTATGTTCATAATCTGTTGATAATGATAATCTGTTGTTAAATGATAATAAAAACAAGTTACAATTAATTTGAGCTGCATATTCATCATCTCCATTTAGGCCGCCATTGACGATGTTATTTATAGACGTTCATGCATTCCTTTGCCACTTGCTTGCGTAATCATAGTACACATGTACCTAATCAGACACTCGGTTGGAAAAACAAATAATTGAGCAACTTTATAATGAAATACAATAAATCAACATTTATTTGGGTTTTTAAATAACGCGGTGAAAATTCATTTCAACATAAACACCCCAGTATACCATTGCATACTATATGTCTCAATCGAAGCCAATGTTGTGAACACGTGCACTTGTCACTTGATCTGAACACCCCTCCAGGCAAATAAATTGTCTACCAACTCCTAAGCATTGTTTTTACAGTTAGAGCACTGATTATTTACTGCCCTTATTAATGGCTTTGATCGTTTTCTTTGTTAAAATTCGGGGGTCGATTTTTAGCCTTTGTACAGTATCTATGAACTTGTGTTGATTACGACACATTAAAGGTGCTTAGACACAGATTTGAAATTAATATTTTCTCAAATTTTCTGTATAATATCACGACTTATATATTGCAATAGCATTTCACACGAAAATATAATTAAAAACTTATTTTATCTGGAAATTATTGGAACTACGAATTCCTGGACGCGTTTGATTAACACATCCTTGCACTTTCACAAATTTTATCTTTATCCTTAATATTTAAGAAAAGAAGCTATTTTTTGTGTATTAATGAAAAACATTACATCTATAATCCAGAAAATTCAGAGTAGAAATGTGTGAAAGCAAACCCCCTCACTAATACCGTCAGCCCGTGCTCAGTGCTGTGTACAGAGTTTAACAAATTGATTACACCCGTGAAACGTAAACTGTTTTTGTAAACAGGGCACGAGCTCTGTTATTGTTAATGTTTACGATTCACCGGGTGTGTTCAATTGTTAAAGTCTGACACCACACACCACTGAGCACGGACTGACAATACTGTGAGTGGGTTTTGCTTTCGAACATTTCTACTCTGATTTTTTCTGGATTATAGTTTTAATATTTTTCATTAATACACAACAAAATTGCCATTTTTCTTAAGTATTAAGAATAAAATTAAAATTTGTGAAAGTGCAAGGATGTGTCAATCAAACGTGTCAAGAAATTTGAATGTAAAAAAAAGACAACATTACTGCTTGGTCAATTTTTTGACAGCGTATAATACAACTGAATTGCGTTTTTCCCCAAATTTTCAAGCCAAAAAAAGGGGTGCATATCTTACACAAATGCGTATTATATTCCGCCAAATATAGTATATGTACATTTTATGTGAAGATTATATTTATCTAATTGAATGAAAACCCACAAGAGGGTCATAAGCCACTATGCTCACTTGAGTCACCTTGGCTCTGATGCTTTTAGGGAAAAGATTTTTGATTTTCCCTATGTTCCTCTGAAAAAAATTTAACCCCTTCTGTGGCCTCAACCTAACCCCTAGAGTAGGAGTGAAACGGTTCACCGCGGTATCGATGCACCGCGGTATTTTTTCTCGGTTTGATACACGGTGCAAAATCTCTAATTTTCGGTTCGGTTCATTTTTCGGTCGGGATCGTTATTCAGTCGGGTTTGGCATAAGGTATAACACGTTACTCAGTATAAATAAGTGTAGAAAACGTAAATTTTTGATGACTGATAGCTTGTAAGATAATTTTTGACAGTCAAATAATTTTAATCAATTTCTTCTAGTCAATTTGCAAATAAAATTCGTAAAATAGGTGACTAGATTTAGAAAAAGAAAGCATAAAACAACGTTGAATTTGTTTCCTTCTATCAAAATGTATCGTATCGAAAATAACCGAACCGAGACAAAATTATGCAATACGTATCGAACCGTGAAGGAGGTGTACCGTTTCACCCCTACCCTAGAGTCATTACTTAAACAAATTCTTTTGGGTTTGTTGTGTCGAAGATTTTTAAAGATTTTGAATTTACAGTATGTAATGAAGCTTTAACATAAGTTTGATTTTTTCTAGCCCAGTGGTTCTTAAGATTTTTAAATGACCACATCCAATTTTCACTATTTCTTAAGTATCTCTCCTTGGAAGAAGGTATGGTGCTTCATTCGAACAAACTTGAATCCCTGGAGAGCCCTGGCAGGCTAGACAGACTGTGATCAGAAAAGTTCACTTGAGCCTTTGACTTGAGTGAGCTAAAAATACATTTAAATTCTCTAAATAATGAATCGTGTCCCACAAAGTCTGTGGATTCTTTACCTCACTTTTGGTGGCACTTTTAATGAGGTCCGGCACAGGGCCCTTAGCTGGGGTCCTCCCTAGGGGAAACACAGTCGGTGCAGGTGATGAAGCTAATGAAACAATTATACATGATTTTTTTTAGACAAATATCTCTCACGTTTATTTTTAGAGAGAGAGAGAGAGAGAGAGAGAGAGAGAGAGAGAGAGAGAATCCCAAATTAAAAAAAAAACAAACAAGAATTCTGTGAGCCAATGCTCACTAGTAATACCCCCGCTTTGATGTGACTATACACTCTGATGTGAATGTACACAAGTTCAGCTACGGACAGACACAGGGATAAACAGGAAGTTGACATCAGATTGACAATGGATTCAAACAAAAATAAATCCCACCATATGGCATGCCTAAACAAACAGTGTGCTAAAATTTCATACATCTGTAATGAGTAGTTGCTGAGAAAAGTGCGACAAAAATTTGTTATGTATGGTACAGACAGACACACAGATAAACAGGAAGTTTACACGGGATTTGTACAAAAATGAATCCTACAGTCCCTGAAACGTTCTACTTTCCCATTTTTCCGTTCGCTCACCATTCGTTCAGCGTTCGTTCACCGTTCATTCACCGTTCACAGTTTTGCGTTCTGCGTTCACCGTGCACTCGCGTTCACATAGCGTTCAGCGTTCGCTCTCCGTTCGTTCACTTTGCGTTCACCTTGTGTTCAGTGTTCACTTTTCGTTCAGTCTTCAGTGTCATTCGGAACTCCGAAGTGAAAGGACTTATCTTTTTTGTAACTAAGGATTTACGGGATTTTTTAATTTAATAATTAACATATCGTGTTTAAAGAATCGTTATCTCATTGGAAAAAATATCCATAATATTCTAACATTATTTTTTTTTATTACTCAAACTTTGCTGTAAGGTTATTTATTAATCTACTCTGGGAAATAAATGTTGTTATAAATATGTACCTACATGTATGTAGAACGATGCTGAAAATTTTAATTGAAATACGGGCGATATCTAGATACATCAAGCACTGCAACATTTTGTTGTTATGTTATAGACGACAAATCGTTAATGGGGAGATAATTATCCAAGATAATTAAGTTACAAACTGCAGCAAAATTACAAAAATATTTATTTCTAACACTGCAGCAAAATTACGAAAATATTTATTTCTATTAAAACTCTTTTTTTTTTCAATTACTACAGAAATACATGATAGAACTAGTTCTGAAAATTATACATAGTAATGCGGATATCTTGTTAATTAAATATCTTTGGAGCGAATTAAATTGATAGTGTGGTTATTAAAATATTTATTTTAAATGTAATACACTACAGATTTTCTCTACTATATAAAGTCTATAGTTATAGAGAAAATAAATTCTTCCTTCACTGTAACTTTACATGTATATGTTTGCCATTCGATATGATTAAGAGCCCCCCTTTTTTTCCTCCTACATGTAAATCAGTTACTTAGTCAGTATTTCCAGTATATTTTATAAACATTTAAAAAGGAGTTAATGTGTTTTGTACCACAAAAATTTCAGTCTAAAAAAATGCATCTAAAAAAGTCATTAAACAATAGAAGTTCAAAATATACACGTGTCGGCGGTGGTATTTTAAATTGGCAGAGAGTATGTTTCAAATTGAAGTGTTAATGCCCAATGTATTTTAATTATTTATTTATATAAAATTGTTGGAATCAAATCTAGAAATAATTTTAAAAAATTAAAACTTGTTGGAGATACTAGCACTTCGTCTTAGGTTTGACGAGACTTTCACACCTGCACAGAGTCGAATGATTTTGATTGACAGGACAAACACGTGGACTTCGTGTGAACTTGAAGCAGGAAAAAAAAACCGAGTGAAAAAAAGAAATGAGTATGACAAAACAAATGGATATGTTGATAAAAAAGTTTTTTTCATTGCCTGATATATTTAGAAAAAATGAAGATTTTTTGTTTAATATCAGTACAAACATTTGGTGAAGCCTGAAAGGGGGGGGGGGGCTAAAACGGAATCTCTCTCTCTCTTTCTCTCTCTCATTTGTCTTTTTGATAAAAACTATGACAGCATATTGCTTAAATATCAAGTTCTGAAAGTTTAATCTATAACAAAATTATGAATATGTATGCCTCTTTGTATAATCTTGTCCGAGTATAATAACGGGGAAATGTCTACAGGTACATGTACATGTAGAAGTTTGCTTAATAAATAGAGATGTCACAAAAAATATTATTCCAGTAAAAATGTAAAAAGGGGATGTATTTATGCAGTACGTCCACAGACCTTTGTTCACTTTTTTTTTTTTTTTTTTTTTTTTTTTTTTTTTTACACGGAATCGCCTTGGCACGGAAATACATATGAATGGGTGTTACAACCGTTATAATTCATTCTATAAATCAGAAGTTTTCTCTTATTTGTACTGGGGTTTTTTATCAAATAAGACTAAACATATTGATTTTCAATCTAAAATATTTTTATCTTTTTTATACTACAGCATTCAGTAACAATTACAATGTATTGCAGCGATAAAACTCGTGTGATTAAAAAGTTGAATTTAAACATCATACAGGTAAAAAAAAAAACAAAACATTAGCTTTACTTAATGTGCATGTATCGTCTTTAATTTCTTAGGACAATTTTGTAGCATTCATTTTATTTATTTCTCCATTAATTTGTTTATTTATTTATTTTTTGGCACGTGACATTAGAATACAAAAGAAAAGTTTCAATCAAGGAAAAGATCAGGGGGATTCCGAATAAATCGTTCATCTTGCGTTCATCGTTCGTTCACCGTTCACTTTGCCTTTGCGTTCCGTTCGCGTTCTGCGTTCGCTCACCGTTCAGCGTTCACACATCGTTCACCAAGTTGCGTTCAACGTTCACACATCGTTCACTCACCGTTCGCTCTGCGTTTGTTCACCGTTTGCTCACCGTTCAGGTGGGAAAGTAGAACGTTTCAGGGACTGTACCATATGACATGGCTAAACAAAGAGTGTGCTAAAATTTCAAGCCTCTGCAATGAGTAGTTGCTGAGAAAAAAGCAACAAAAATTAGTTATGTTTGGTACGGACAGACACACTGATAAACAGGAAGTTGAAATCGGATTCATACAAAAATTAATTCCACCATATGACATGCCTAAACAAACAGTTTGCTAAGATTTCAAGCCTCTGCATTTAGTAGTTGCTGAGAAAACTGCAACGACAATTAGTTATGTATGGTACAGACAGACACACAGATAAACAGGAAGTTGACATTGGATTTGTATAAAAATAAATCCCACCATATGGCATGCCAAAACAAAGAGTGTGCTAAATTTTCAAGCCTCTGCGAGGAGTAGTTGCTGAGAAAACTGTGACCAAAATTCGTTATGTATGGTATGGAAAGACGCATGAAAAAACAGGAAGTTGACATCAAATTCATACAAAAATTAATCCCACCATATGGCATGCCTCAACAAAGTGTGTGCTAAAATTCCAAGCCTCTGTGATGAGTAGTTGCTGAGAAAACTGTGACGAAAAATGTTACGGACAGAGAGACAGACACACAAGGGTAAAACAGTATACCCCTCTCCTTCAGAGCGGGGGTATAACTAAACCTTCACAAGTTATCTCAATATGATAGAAACTGAAAAATTCTAACCTGCTCCTATCAATAGTTTTCCAGTCCTGGGACCTGCTCTGTACTCAGATAATCTCACATTCCCAAACACTGAGTTCCTTGAGCTTGTCATGGCGTCATAGATTGATGGTCTTTCCTGAAATTTACAGCATTAAAATCACTTTTATATACCTGTAGTGTTAGGGTGCTCAATAAAATCACACAGACCACTTTTTTCCTGTGTTATGACAACCAGCTTGACCTCCCTGTCAGTTGCAGGAACTTTTACCATAAATTTTCACTGTTCATAATCTGATAATAGTATGTAATCAACAGTATTCTTTATAATAGGTCCTTCTAAAAGGGAAAACATCTCTTTATTGGATCCCTTACACTTCCTACAAAGACCATTATGTACTGTTAACTAACTTTCATTTGTGTGCAAGAAATATCCACATGTTTGTGACCTTCATTTACTTGTAAATATTTTTTGATAGTCATTTATCAAGTAAAATATTTCCTTAATCATGGAAATTAATTGTCAGAAATTGATTTCAAACAGAGGAATCAGAAATAAGAGCTGTTGCTGATGAGAACTGGTTTGACAGGAGGGCAAAGCCTAAGACAAGTTACCTCAATAGCAGTACCTCCGACAGATGTCATTGTATATAATATACCTAGTAGTGTATTAGCCCTGATACAAGCATATTGGACTAGGTGAGACAGCATCTGGGAACTAGGGCTTTCTGGCCCTCAGGACAGTAATTGAGATAAGCACATGCCCTGTGCCATAGTCGCATTAAATTAAATAATGGCACATTGCTATTAAAAATGCTGCGCCCTTATGGTCATCATCACACATACTTCTAAACTTTGAGCTTTTCCCCACAGGCTTGTGATCTCTTTTGCTACAATGCTTTAACAATTGCCATCATATTTACGCTTGTTACACATATTACCTGTCTTATGACTGGTCCTCCCAGGGTTTTTCTGACAGGGGCAGTAACTCTGACGGGGGTCAGTCCTTCACTGTTGATGATATTTCTCATTGACTGAGGATCCACCTCAAACTCCTCAGCTAAAAACATTATATCACATTACTTTTAACACACCATACAATCTAGCTGCAATAATGTAGCCCTCTCCGATTTTTTTTAATCTGATATTTTCTGGAGAGGGCTACAATTCCACTGCATCTCCGTAATGGTGCAAATATATTTTTTAGATATGGGCGAATGCAGGCAAAATAAATTGTTTTTGCATTCAACTTACTTCCAATAAGACGGAATTTTTATTCACAATCAACATCATAGCCCTTAATGAGCGAAAACCAAGTAAAATAAATCTGCGTGTTTACCAGTCGTTCTCTTCAGCAGCCATGATAGTTCTCGCGTGATGTACAGAGACTTGCGCTTGAATTTTAGAATCACTTGATAAAGTAAATGTCAGTGTTGATAAATCTTTGTGTGGTATGACATCACTAAACATCGATAAATAAAAGCATTCCATGTGATTTTTTTTTTCATAAACAGTGATATTTATGCTTAAAATAAGGGAAATCCTAAACGATCCGCTCCCCTAGATCCCGATTTCTCATTGGTTGTCCCAAAATAAAATCGATCAAGGTCAGTAAACATGGCGGATAAATTCAAGTTGTGATGTTGACATACACAAAAAATAACCGATATATGGATTGTTCTGTATATTTTTGGATCAACTCATGTCTTGCATAACTACATTTTATGAGTTCAGGTAAGATATGTTAATAAAATACCCACTTACTGATAATTTGAGCCGAAATCTGTGCGGTAGTGAATCACTCCCGCACTCGCACCATTACGGAGATCCTAAGGAGTTGTAGCCCTCTCCCAAAAAAAAAAAAAAAAAAAAAAAAAAAAAACGGGAGAGGGCTACATTATTGCAGCTACATACAATCCATCCACACCATATACACAGAAAATTTTTAATCAATATTCTTTTGCTTCATTTGAAATTGAATATTTCTTTAAAGTTGATATAAATTTTACTATTTTTTTTTTTTTGCTCAAACATGAGTTGTCCTTCTTGCCACAGTGGATATAGAATTTTTGATTTATTTTGCAGGAGTTAGATTTTCGATTGCATGAGCTTGGGAGTCCATTTTTAAAACCAAATGAGTGCCAATATCTACCAACACAGTTCAAAAATGTCTTTGTTTAATTGCATGGACACATGTTTCTCAAATTGTTACAGAGTCTATTATCTCATTGTTTTTAGATAGATAACTGAACAATAATTTGCTGTGAAGACTTTTTTCTGTCAGAATGGGAATGTAATTTTCAAAGATTGCTGAGACCTATTTTTTATTCGTAACCAGGATCCCTATTTTTTATGTTTGTAATTCTGTACTCTATAGATTTGTTATGTTCGTGATTCTGTACTGACTGTAACTCACCCAGTGACTGGGGTTGCTGCTCCACCTGTTTTCTAAGGTTGTTTTGGGGAGGGTCTCGGCAAGCTTGTGTAGCTCTCTGTACAGGACTGCTTGGGGGACCTAAAATAGTCAAATACTTGCACCTACTAGTATCTCAATACTAGTACTTTCATTGATCAGAAAAACAAACTGGGAATCTTTAAATTCATATTCAGTAACAAATATCATTTGTAAAATTGTACCTAGACCTATGCTCTTTATCATGTCCAATTGACAAGATTTTACGAAAAATCAAAAACTAGATTTACCTCAATTTATATTTTTACAGCAGTTTCATTTCATAATTTCATAACTGATGTCACATGACTGTGGCAATTAAATTAAATAGATTGGAAGGTAACAACTTTCAATATTTACATTTGCTGTGTTATACTTAAACCATGAAATTGATTTGAATGGAATTTTTGTGTATACTCACTAATAAAAATTACACGGAGAAACTAGTGTAAAAATTACATCACAATGAGGATACAGAGACGTTAATAAAAACATAACGATATAGAGCAGTGAGAAGTTTAAACATTAAGTGCATTTTTGCAGCTTTTAAACATCTAAATTGTAATTATAAGAAATGTTTCTTAGTTTTGTGTGAGTTATTGGTGTGTAAATCACACAGACTTGTCATGTAGGATTATTTCATGAAGAGCTAGCATGCTGCATGAAAAATGACTGTGCGATTTACACACCAACTCACAAAGAACTAAAAACACATACCTTAAATAACAATTCTTAATCAAGATCTTTTTCCCCTGCTTCAGACTCCTACATACAGAGCATTACTATTGTTTACTTGTTTTCTTTACTTACGGTTCTTGGGATGGATGACCTTTGAAGCCTTGTTTGCCATCTGTACTGCAGCGAATTTAGAGTTCAGATGTCGAGAACTTGTCATTGCATCATAGATTGAAGGCCTCTCCTTAAAATCATATTAAAAAGAAAATTTACATGATATAGTAAGGTTCAAGTTAAACTCAGGGAAATTAGAATAGACTCCAAAGTTTGTCTTTTATAGTTAAAAAAAGTAGATTCTAACACATTTAACATAAAATTTTAACATATTAAAATTAAATCTTTAATGAAATACTGTAAAATAGACAAAATTTGAGAAGAACATAAGTTATTTATATTACCAGAAAATTTAAAATTAAATTTCTGGATGTAAACATTTTTTCAGTTTTATTTTAAAACTAAAAACCTAATTTTTAATTTGTACTGTGAATTGTACAAAGATATTAACAAACAAAGAACTGATTTACTTGTCTGATGACAGCCCCTGTCGTGGTCTGTCGCTTGGGAGCCGCTACCCGTGACGGGGTCATACCCTCGCTGCTAATGATGCTACGTAAGGCTTGGGGATCTGGCTCAAACTTAACTTCTGAAAACATTTGATTTTGAATGTCCCTGAATCATCTTCAATTTTGATTTACATTAAAAAAAAAAAAATCAAAGAAATTGATTGGTACTGAAAATGTAGTTTCAGTTTAATTCCTGAAACCTGACGGACTCACCAGCACTCTCTTTCAGGACCTTGAGAGGGATCTCCGCTCTGGCACTGCGACTTCTACGTCTGTTCGCTTTGGACGTTTGATCTGGGTCCAATGGAAGCTCTCCAAGTACACGCCTACTTCCAATGCTGTTACAACTTTGGCTTCTCTTCCTACAAGGTTTAAGAGCATTAAATGCATAAGAAAACTAGAAATATATCCATAAGACATGCATGTCCTGTCCAGAGTTCATTAGTAATGTAACATGAAAAAATCCGTATTAGCATAAGAAAATTCTTTAAAACTGAATTTTATTCACAATAATTAGTATTTAAAGTCAAAGGTCATTGGGAAGGTCAAGGATAAAAAAAAGTTCTCTCCAAATTATGTAACAGTGCACAAGGTTACATGAAAATATATTGAATAGTTTCTTTGAAACTGAGCTAAACACAAATTTGAGAAAAGTGAAGTGAAAGGTCAAAGACAAAACATGTTGATGAAATTGAAGTCCCAAATATGTAACATCATATAAGGTTTGATAAATACATCTGGAAACTAAAATTTAAGAAAAAATGAGGTAAAGATGAAGGGAGAAGTCAAGGTCAAAAATGTTGATCTAATTGAATAGCTCATATCACTATGTATCAGTAGATAAGGTTTAACTAAACTCTCTTAAATAGTTTCTTTGAAACTTAGCTAAAAACATTTTTTTAAAACTAGAAATATGTCCATAGGACACGAATGTCCCAACGAGGGTATATTAGTAATGCAACATGAAAATTGGTATTAGTGAATATGAAATTTGATGAGAATATCTTGAATAGTTTCTTTAAAATTGAAATCTAAAAAGTTGGATATAGATGATAAATTCTCACCAAATTATGTGTAAGTGCATAAGCTTACATAAACATATCTTAAATGATTTCTTTAAAACTAAGCAAAATGCAAATTTAAGAAAAGTGAGGTCAAGGTCACAGGAAAGTTCAAGGTCAAACATTTTTGATGCAGTTGTATAGTTCTCACTAATACGTATTAGCATATAGAAAATAGAGCTAAACATTAACTTAAAATAAATAAGTTAAGGTCAAAGGAAAGTCAAGGTCAAAAAATGTTGATGCAGTTGAATAGCTTACATCAGTATTCATCAACATATGAAATTTGATTACACCATCTTGAATGGTTTCTTAAAAAACTGGGCTAAAAACTAATTTAAGAAAAGTGAAGTCAAGGTCAAAGGAAAGGTCAAGGTCAAAAAAATGTTGATGCAGTTGAATAGCTTACATCAGTATTCATCAACATATGAAATTTGATTACACCATCTTGAATGGTTTCTTAAAAAACTGGGCTAAAAACTAATTTAAGAAAAGTGATGTCAAGGTCAAAGGAAAGGTCAAGGTCAAAAAATGTTGATGCAGTTCAATAGCTCTCATCAATATGTATCAGCATATAAAGTTTGATGATACTATCTTGAATGGTATCTTTAAAACTGAGCTAAAAACTAATTTAGGAAAAGTGAGGTCAAGGTCAAAGGAAAGGTCAAGGTCAAAAAAATATTGATGCATTTGCATAGCTCTTATCAATATCTATCAGCATATGAAGTTTAATAAAAATATCTTGGATTGTTTCTGTGAAACTGAGCTTTGAACTGAGCTAAACGCAAAGCGCGTCGGAAGGACAGACGGAAGGATGGAAGGACCGAAGGACAGAAGACAAACATGACAAACACTATATGCCTCGGCCATATTCATGGTGGGGCATAAAAATGAGGTCAGGATCAAGTAAAGGTAAAAAAATAATGATGCAGATGAATAACTCTCATCAATATGTAACAGCATATAAGATTTGATAAAAATATCTTGAACAGTTTCTTTGAAACTGACCTAAACACAATTTTTTGAAAAATGATGTCAAGGTCAAAGGAAAGATTATGGTTAAAAAATGTTGATGCAATTGAATAGCTCTCATCAATATGAATCAGAAAATTAAGTTTGATAAAAATATCTTGAATAGTTTCTTTGAAACTGAGCTAAAAGCAGAGTGTGATAGAAGGACATACAGAATGACAGAAGGATGGAAGATGGATATAACAAATAATATATGCCTCGACCATATTCAATGCATAAAAATTGTACATAATGGTTGTAGCAATACTACATCAGAAGAAAAAGAAAGTTGGATTCTTTCCTAAACACAGGTTTTGTAGCTTGTAAAATGGACATTTAGAACCTTTTCACAATATGCATTGTCATTGACCATTTTGACATGAAAAATATCAATACTGATCAATATCAAACCCAATAAACCATCTTATGGAAAAGAAAACTTTCTGGGGGACAGACAGAGTGATTTTTTAGAAGGCTAGCAGAAATTATTGGGGGCCCCAAAAGAATCACGGTAAATTAATCAAATGTTGCACAAGCACATGCATCAACACCTACACATCTCTTCCTGTTGCTGTGGTTGCTCTTCGTGAAGCAATTCCACGTCCGGGCAGCCCACGGAGAATGGCTTCCAAGGACTTGTGATCTGCCTCAAACTCTTCATCCGAGAACAACTGTTTCTTTGCATTGTTAGGTGGATCAGCTTTGTTGCTTTTGCTCAGCTTAAATTCTGTTGGCTACAACAAAGATAATTTTATTTTCATCAAAGATCTGAGAGCTCCTTAAAATATCTTCAGAGATCTGATGTACATTCTATAGCCTATACATTGACTATGCTGTAATCTGGATGCCAAAGATCTGGAAGTTTAACATTACTCGCTACATTTCAAAATGAAATACCTGGCTCTGGGGCCATAAAAGTTAGATCAGCTAACTTTTGATCTCAGTCTCACTTTTCCATTATACAGTTAAACTTCGCTATCTCGAAGTTGACGGGACCGTTGATGAACTTTGAGATATCCGGGGGTTCGACATATCGAGGGTTATAATTCAAATGAACTTTAAATAAACTTAGTGCAGCGAACGTGTACTTAAACATGTCAAATTCCAAATTCTGTATACAATTTCTTATATATACATGTACATGTATTAAGCAATAAAAAGATTTTTACATCCTCTTTATAATTTACAAAATAAAAACTTTATATAATATGCACAGAAGTATAATCCTTAGAACTACCAACGCGGCAAATCAACCGCTAGCATCGCTTCCCATGTATACATAACCGGATATCGTCTTTGCATTGTAAATTAAAAACCGGTTGCTGTCAGAATAACGAAAACGAAATATACATTTTCTTTTATTGGAACAACATGTTCATGCATGTATAATCAGTTAAAAGAAAATTATTTTACTATAATAAGATCAAATGCAAAAGAAGAATCACGCACTTTTGTCTAACAACAGAACAACACTGAATCACAGGGCACTATAGCACAAGTTTTCACTGCGACACACGCTCACATGATGGTGTGTACGGACGATTGTAAATTCTCCACGCTCATATAGGAAATATAAATTCTAATTGCATTAAATTACAGAATTTTGTTTTACTTCGATGTTTATAATTTTCACTTTCGTATGCATAAAATATGTATGCGCGCATATTTCACAGCATTAAATAGCGATTATCAAGATAAACGTACCCAAGCCACAAAAAAATTAACGTGTCATCCACGCGTATGCATTAGACTAATACACACAACCTTTGGCTTGCATAATTAAAATATGGTAAGCCATATATACACTTCGTATAATTATCGCGCTATTATCCGTTGATCACAGGAACACAGGTAACCCGAGCGTGACAGACAGGTGGTTGTTATCAATACAGCATTCAGTTTACATAACGGACTTGATCATCAGAGCGGAAAATTATCCTGACTTCGAGATAACGCATGTGATTTTAATGAATGGGTACACAATTTTACTTCGAGATAACCGGGGTATTCGACATTACCGTGTTCGACATAGAGGGGTTTATTTTAATCATTTATAAAGCAAATTTCATCGGGACCGCGGCCTTACTTCGACATATCCGGGGTATTCGAGATATCCGTGTTCGAGATTTCGAAGTTTAGCTGTACATCCCTTTAGTAAAAGTGAGACTGAGATCAAAAGTGAGCTCGTCCAAGTTTTATGGCCCCGGAGCCTAATGATCATCTGATACCTGAAGGTCAATTCAACTTATATTTTAAACAGAATTCTCACCTCCTTTTATTTCTATTTAATTGTAAACTAAGCTTGCAATGTATGATAAGTCACAACTCTCAAGTCCAGTTTAAATATAAGCAATACCATTTAAGACATAGATTTTAACTTCTTTCATTCAACAATTAGGTGTTCATTAAAATTATGGATCCAATGATAATGTTCCCTCAATTGTTAGCGTATTCCGGTATTTATAAAAACCTTACCACTGTCTGTGGTTTCTTGTTACAAATTTTGCCGACTTCTAATTGTTTCTGCCATTTCTCGTGAAGTTTGCCGAAGTCTGGGACCACTTTTGTCTTTTTCTTTTCACCAGGAAAATACTGAGGAATTTTACTGAAAAAACAAAATAAAATTGTTATTATTTGAATGCACTGGTTATCAGAACAGGTCAGATAGGCCTGTGAATTAGACTTGGTTTTGACTGAATACAGATTAAGAAATCAAAAAGAAACCGAGCTTGAAACTGATGTTACTTTCCACAGATTCCTCAGAACACTTTACATTTAATTTGTGAAAAGCAACATATCATTCTTATTAGTTATAATCCACGGCAATTTTTCTTCATATATTAACTATCATTTTTCAAAATGATTTTTTAGCAATATTCTCAAAATATTTAATGTCTATCAGGTTTATATATATATGAGGCATTCTACCAGTGAATGAATCTCATCTTCCACACAAGTCATGTCATACATTCTACAAATTCTTTCATTTCTTTCAATGGTGGTTTTTCTGTCCTTCCATGTTTAAAATTTTTTTTTCATAGCATATTCCTCTTTCACATAACTATAAGCCTTAGATGCTAATGTAAAAAAAAATTGTCTGTACTATAACAATTATCTTTGCTGATTTTCTTGATGGAGAAACCAAACCTTGGACCGTAGCTGTTTGTTTTCTTGGCCTGTCGTCCTGACTGGGACTCGGTTCTGACAGAGGTTCTCTTCATCACTGCGAAGTCTACATAACATTTATAATCATTATAAATAGATGTAACTTTATCAGGAAAAATAAAGTTAAAGCATGTACGGTACATGAATCTCAAAATAAGCATAATTTTTTCTGTTGATTCTAATGGTCTTTAAAAGTATTCAACTTAAGTAACAGTCTTTCAAAGGGCAGTTAAAATTTTAACAAATTCTTTATGATAACAAATAATACTTGGGAATTCACAGTTTTTTCCTCTCATTTTTTTTTTATTGAATTAATCTCATCTTTCTTGCAGTTCTTTCTGCATCAATTAGCCACTTCACCGTAACTGTGGTACTTCTCTTTTGCAGGGCAAAATAACGTTTGGCGAAGTTTTTGTTGACAGCTAATCAACTGACGTATATTCAACAATTACTTTTACGTCATATTTCACCAAACTATATCATTTTACCCTGCAAAAAAGCAGTACCACAGTTACCATGAAACAGTCTATTGATTCTTTTTAAAAATAATAATATAATATAAAGAACTTTCCATGAAACTTTCCCTGAAATTAAGGATAAGCTTTAAACACTGCACACTTTTATGCAGTTAGAGTGATCTGCCTTGATAGAATAACAGGATCTAGATTTGTGAACTTATAAAACAGTTCCAATCTTTGAACCAAGTACTCTAAAACTAACACTTTTGCTGCAGTGAGACAATGGAAAGGGAAATACTCACTCACATCATGCACATAGTTAGACACCTCGGCCCAACGACACCTCGGCCGATTGACATTTCGGCCCAATGACATCTAGGCTCAGACGGGTCGGCCCAAGTATTAAGACAGGTCGGCCCATACATATGACACCTCGGCCCAAGCTAAATTTTACTACTAGATGAAATACATATTTCCAATTTTGGGACTTGAATTAAATTTTTATTGAAAAAAAGTACATGAATAAACTATCAAGATTTTTTTAAAAAGACCTTCCATGAGCACATTGACGATATTCAATGAGAAGACAATGCTTTTAATTAAAGTGCTAAATGATAAACAAACAAAATGCTGCGGCGCATCCTTTGGTATTGGTGACAACAGGGGTTCAGGGCTCGACATTAACGCTTGTCCGGTACTAGTGAAAAAAAATTAAGGGCAAGTGAATATTGCTGGGCGCTTGTCCGATTGGACAAGTGCATTTAAATGTAAAGAAGTCTCAAAATAATAAAAAGAATGACTGTCGAACGTTTACCGGTACTGAAGTTCAAAGACGGAAGTAATATGTTCCTAATACCGAACTTAGATTCCAATATGGATCACTATGTAGTTGAGTTCACACTTGATTGGGATCGAAGTTTACTAATTGCATACTACTGCAAATTAAGGCATGGAATTTATGAAGTATGGATTCTGTTTGATGTTGACAGTCCCATTTATGTTGTTGTTAGGACAGAAAGTCTAGATAAAATTTTGTGTTATGTGTTTGTTGTATTTATCAATAACATCATGAATCAATCAAGCACATGTAATGGAATTCATTTTAGTTTTCAAGTTGACAGTATTAGATCTTTATTAAAAATTTTTTTCGGACAAGTGAAGTTGAAGTTCGGACAAGTAAATGTCTTGGTCACTTGTCCGAATGGACAAGTAGGAAAAAAAGTTAATGTCCAGCCCTGGGGTTTAAAATTTACGAGCAGACAACAATTTTGGGCCGACCTGTCAGGGCCTATTAAGAATAATTTAACTGTGTCCTGGGACAAGCCTTCACCACAGTTACATGTATAATACGTCCCATATACTTGCAATGTAGCAAATCAGAGTGGATCCACTCCGAAATGATTTTGAAGAATACTAAAGGAGTTGCACTGAAAATAACTACCAAATTAATCATAACAAACCTTTTTGAGACTGTATATGCCTTTTAACCTAAAAAATAATCCATATAAATATGAAAATTCAACTCACTTTCTCAACATTTTTTTCATCGCTTCAGATTTAACGCCATGTTGACATTTGGTACTCTCTGGATTGTACACAGAAAATGCAGAGTTCCGAGTTATCGCCCGTGTTTATTTTGCAAAATTGCCAATACATGGAACGAATTTTATCGTTAAAAGTAGGACAATATCATTTTAACGATAGAACATTCTATCTAGTCAGGGCTGAGATTAGGGTTGGATACCGTTAAGGATGAAACGGTACGATACCATACCGGTATTTTTAAAACGATACGGTATTTTTAACGATACGGTACTATATCTCGATGAATGAGAATGAGGGCTCATTTTATAACAAATGTGCTTTCACCAGTCTTCAACCATTCAATGATATAATCTAAAATGAGCCTATAAACTATGTTATATTTCAATCTTTTAATAAATCATCAACAAAACAAATAAATTGAATCTCAAACAAATTAATCTAACTAGATACAGCTGACCGCTTCACCCAGTTGCCACTTGCCATGACCCATTCTGTTTGGTCGCACTAAATGACAAAACATTAAAATGGAATCGATAGAGATGCACATCACATTTTTGCGATATTTTGCATTTTTTATTTACAGTTATTATCAGTTTTTATAAATAAAATTAAAACACGATTAATGTGATTTTTTTTAATTTTTCAGTATTGATTTACCTCGAATATCGGCAGTCAAAAGCAAGTATCGTACTAAGCATCCATTTCGATAAATAGCCTACCCTTTCAATGCGCGGAGAATTTTATTTTAGCGAGTCTGGAACCTCTTTTTTAAAAGTCATTTTGAATGTATTAAAATGTTTCAAAGATTGAGAAATACCGTTATTAGTACCGGTATTAAATGAAATGGTATTTTACCGGTATTTTTGAAGTAACTATTCGGTACGGTATTGGTACCGAGTACCGGTATCCAACCCTAGCTGAGATGTCAAGCATGACAGGCCGAGGTGTCTTTGGGCTGAGATGTCTATCTACCATAGTTATACATATCTGGAAACTTTCCCTAGCTTAACTTTTAACTAGAAACAAATTTTGAAGATATACTAATATATTACCATTCTATGTCTGCCTCAGAAAAATGTTCCTTGGTAGGTTAATTCCCCTGGAAGATCAACTGTAGGATAAATTAACACAATTTGAATAAAAAGCAATATATACACACGTACATGTACTACATTCAGGTATTTCATATTCACAACTTCAACTTCAAATTAAACATACCTAAAGAATGTAGGAGATTATCAACAGGATCGATCTTAAATTTATTATGAGAATGGCATTGTATTTGCAATAGATATACAGGCACTGACAGGCTGTTCGCAACATTAATTTTCGTATACAATATGTTCTTCGTGTATTAGCTGGTTATATTATTATTTCATCTCATTTTTTACTTCTAAGTAACTACGAATGTGATGTTTAAAAGGCAGAATACTCACAATAAATAGTTTGTTTTTCCCTCAGCATCCGACAAGTTGAATTTCCCATACGCTGTCCTTGTTGTTTCATTTCGACCAATGAGATTCTTCGTCTCATTCGTCTAAATTTGGTAGATCTCGATATGATCTCGGGGGAATTCCCGAGATTTTGTAAATTACAAACAACATGGCGACAACTCGGTGGGTTCTCCTCGAATCAGTTGTAATAGTAACATTTTTCATTAGTTCACAAGTGGAATTAACTTTTTCTGAAGGTAAGCCTTTCGTAATAATTTCATTCTAGTGCTAAGTCAATTTTTTAAAATCGAAATTTTGCTGGGCCGGCGAAATTCACTTTTTACCTGGAGATTTTACCTGAAATTTATGTAATCATTAGGTATGCATGCTTATTGATGCGGAAATGATGCTGTTCTGTCAAAATTGTTGACCACTAATGAGTAAAAGTAATTAATATTCATTCTTCATACACTTATTAATTAGTTTTCTCGGTTTTTAAGTTACTCTGTGATCATTTAACTAGAATTTTCTCGATTACAGTAAAAAACAGAACGTAATAGAAACATACTGAAAGTTAAAAAATGCCCCCATTCTCTTTCTCTCATACATATATGGTGTACAATTATTAATTTTTTTTTGTTGTTACTCAGTCCAGTCAGGTATTGAAATCATTAATATTCCAGATTTAAGCTGTACTGTAGGTAAAATTTGATGTCATTTTTAAGATGACTATTTATGAATGTGATATGGTTACAGGTATTGTAATTTGTAAATGCATCCATGATGCATAAATGGGATTATTAGATTACATTAGAAATTATCAATAAATATAATAATTTAATTATGTGTTTATCTGTAACTATAGATAATGTCCTATCAAGTATTTCTTAATATTAGTATATAGTGTTTAAACTCTCAATGTTTTTGTTGATACACCATTTATCATGATACTCACTTGACATTGTTTTTTATTGCCATTTTATAAGGAATGCTAAAAATCAATATCATTCTGTGGTATGTATTGCAAAACCCCTCTCTACTTTGTTAACAGGGCAGTATATTTATCAAATCCCAATGGAGATGAATAAATTGGAAACATGAAAATATAGTCTATGTAGACAAAGAGATTATTAGACTATTATTATTAAGGGAGAGGGGGTACTTGAAGGGGAAGGGAATGCAGAGAAAGTAAATCACAAGAATTCAAATACACATATTTTGGTACTCTTGTTCAAAATGTTCTTCCTTGTCTAGAAATTCTTGTACAATGTGGAATTTCTAAAGACATTCAGGCTCAAAGGCAGATCAATACTTGATCAGCAATACCCAGTGTGTAATGTAAATATTTATTTCAAAGAACTAAGGAAGTAGTTTTAAGAAATTCATTGTCCTAATTCAGTTTTTTCATGGTCTACTGAGTTTGTGTTTTACAGGTAAAACTTGGCATTAGGACTGAGCTTACACAAGATTAAAACTTGATCTTAACCCTTCAGTTATAACACATTTTCAGTTTTGAATTCTTCTTTGACCGTAATAAATAATTAACCAATAAGTTGGAATCCACAAACATAACACAAACTAAACATAATTCATAGATCAATAATTTCAGTATTTCTGCATGAACAGTAAAAATCTACAACAAGAGACCAAAGTAAATATTGAAACATTTTTCTGTCACTGTATAATTTTTCTCCAGAAACCCTATTTTATATCTGTAGAAATGCTTGGACCATGGTAACATTGTTAACAGTATTAATTAAAGGATAAAATGCACTTGAATCATTTATCACTTTGAGTGTCTTAAACGTAGAAGGATATCCTGTATTGGAGAGTTGAAGTAGATCACTCATGTCACCGAGATCAGGAAACTGAGTCAGTTGGATGTACCTTTACTAAAACTAAATATGTCAAGTTATCTGGGTAGTCAGACAGTCCAATAGCCACCTGCTAACTTTTGTCACAAAGTACAGATTTGTATAAAGATAATAATAAAAATAGATATTCATTAAAATATGAATGAAGAATATTTTCAATTACCTGAATAAATCAAATTTTATAAGATACATGTATTTATACATTAGTGTGCTTTACACATATTTGAATTAAATATATAATTATAGTATTGAACTATTGACCCGGTACTCATTACTATTCTAGGAATGATCAATTGAATTAATTTTGCAATATATATCATCATGCTCATGGTTCAACGTACAAGTTTCTTTTTCAATTTATTTCAATTGCTTCAAAATCTAGAATCCATGGAAAACATTTAAAGTGCTAATAGAAAAAGATTTTCATTTTATAACTTAAAGCTTGATTCTGTATGAAGGACTAAGGTGCTCATATAAAGTTTTTTTTTTTACTCACTTAAATATTACTTTGTCCTACATTTTAAACTTTTGCATGAGGCTATGGAAAAGATTATATATATCACAAAATTACACTTCACTGCTATTTAATTCAACCTTCATAAATGTTAAAGTATTCAGTACATTTAGAGAACCTGGACTATAGCCCATAAATTCAAATAAAAGTAAAATGTACATATTGATATAATTTTTAGAATTCACTTTGATCATTTTGGTCTCCTTTAATTTTCCTCTCCTAGCAATTGTATTTGAATTTCTGGGAAAAAAATTGAAATGCATGCATTTTAGGTGTTTTATAACTGGTGACGCATTTGACATACATTGTGAATTATGAAATCCATGATGATCAGAGATTATAATAAAGAGCTATGATTCTGGTAACATTCAATACATAAACATAAATGTACTTAGGAAAATTTTTTTTTTTTTATAAAACTGTGTCTCAAAACATTGGTTTCCTCCGGCATAAGGTCACTGACCTAATTAGCATTTTAATTAAAAAGATTGTATTGTCTAAACATAAAATTGTGTTGACTTGCATTATTTAGGTGAAAATTAGATTATAAAGAACAGAGGTGAAGCCTAGAGATATATCTCACGTATGATCATGTTGAAGAGGTTACTTACAGTGGAAGTAAGAGAGTTGTGTTGATTTCTTTGTTGGATCATAGGACAGACATGAACAATTTATCAAATTAGGGAGGACTTTTTTTGATGTAAAAACAGCTTCACTGAACAGATCTGATGAATGAGAGAGTTAGCTAGGTATTCAGGATGGCTGCACTATCTTTGATCGTTTCTTAAAAGTTCTGTTTTTTTTCCTTTGATGATCGATGAATATGATTTTCAGAATTTTTATGATTATTTTTAAAAAAGTATCAATTCCAGAAGAAACTAATTCTATTTTGTATGCAAAATGGAAAACACAAAATTCGTACAGCTCTGAGTCTATTGGTATAGGAAAAATAATCACAGCATAGATGTGATATGTAGGTAGTTCATGTGCACTAATAATGGGAGGGGTGGTTATTGGAGTGGAGACAATATGATGCATACAACACCAGAGTAAGATGGATTCTGGTTTGTGAGATGGAGTAGCTTCGTTATTAATGATAAAGTATTTCTGTAGATAATAGTGCAATTAGCATAGTACATGGTGCATACAGTTAAAGTATACGAATCAGAGTCGACAGGTTGAACAAATGTGTGCCTGGCAGTTATGCATATAAATGTAACAACACATTCAAGGAAACTCAAGGATGCCGATTTTGCCAGTCTCGTTAAACATAATGTTACAGTAGCTTTTTTCTAGGCCAGATGTGCTTATATTTTCTGGAAACAATGTATATTTTCCTTGCAAGCAATACAATACATATCTCTCTCCCTCCGTTGTCTGTTAATATTTGTCAGTTTAGCTGTAGATTTAGAATTCTCTGCTACAGTTTGGCAGAGGATCACGATGAGTGACAGAACACTGCAGGAATCGGAGCACTGAGGCCGGGAATCTGTTTTGTTTACAAACAATCTATAGGATTTTGTATGAAATATGTCAGCTGGGGGTACGATGAGGAGAGAATCACATTGTATGGCAACATAAAAGGGAGGGGGGAAGCCAAAAGGAATGTACAAGTGTTGTATTAGGAGAGGAATTGAATGGGGGGTATGGTTTTTGTCAAAGTTGCCTTGAATGATAATGCAGATAAACTTAACAGGGGACACACCCTGTTTTGTATTGTTTATTTGGCATACATTATTATTGTGTAATTCTTAGGTGGGTGAAGGATCATGTGTTGAATTAATGATTTACTATCTACCTCGCTCATGTTCACAGTTTACACTGTCAATTTTTTTTTTTTGTTTATGAATGGAATAAATTGATCAGAAGACTTGCATGCAGTAGAGTGATTTACATTGTATGTCCATAATCATGCACTGAATAAATATGAAATCAAAATGAAGATATTTCACATTTATGCAGATTTGGAGATTTGACATAATTTATTTATTTATTTTCTTATTTGTGTAACATTCATATTTTTAGATATATTTAATCTATAGCTACCAACTGAAACCTATTGAAATTTATAATTGTTATAGATTAAAAGTGCATGTACATAATGATAAATGTTTGTCATATTGTCAGATGCTGTAACACTGTGATTATGTGAAGTCAAACAGTTAGGGGACCTCACTTCAGTTAATATATAGCTAGCTGTATTTTTACGAGTTGATGGTATCAACTCATGTTATGTGACTTGTAAGGGATTCCCTAATGTATCGAAACTAATCACATTTTCGTTTGAGTACTTTGCGTACGGGTTCTTGTATAATATTGGTTTATTTACAATTTTCATAATCTACAGAACAAGAATATGTTTCCTGATATGCTTTGAAGTGTATATAAACTTATATATTTTATTATTGATTTTAATGGAATTTTTGTCTATCCGCTAGAGAAAATAGTGTTAGGGACAGCGGTCAACAAAAGTGACATGTCGAGCAAACAAAGCTTTGATTTATAAATCAATAAATGTTTATATAATAAGAAGTATTTTGAAAACAGACTTTTAAAGAAAATTCACAAAATTGAACATTGTACAAACCAGGTTATTTTTACAAGATTGACGTGCTGGTGGTATATAAGTAAACTAAAATTCTTGCGCTGTTATGCTAATGAACAGTTTGCCCGCGCTTGTGATGAATCGTTCAACACAGAGAACACTGCCTATGTTTGTAAACAAAGCGAGGAGTTTGCAGTAAAGAAGATCGAAGTAAACCAATTACTAATCTCAAACGGAAGAAATGAGCTGTACCAGTTGAAAAAAAAAAAATTGAAATTATAGTTCTTATTTCTTGTGCAAGAAATAAAAGATTTCGATTGCTTA